AGAAGAGAAGAGAAGAGAAGAGAAGAGAAGAGAAGAGAAGAGAAGAGAAGAGAAGAGAAGAGAAGAGAAGAGAAGAGAAGAGAAGAGAAGAGAAGGAACATTTTGCCCAAATCTTTCCTTCCATGTCGCTTCTGTGTTCCCTTCCTCATTTTCCCACGGAGAAGAGAGGAACTTTTGAGTGTAACAGCTCAGTTTTCAAAGAGACAAAATATTAGCAACTTGCAATTAAAACTGAAAAGACATAATTACTCTTGAATGCTTTTTTCTAACAGGAAAATGGATACCCCAACTCAGTACAAATAATAGGTCTTTCTACCTAAAAAAAGCAGGAAATGAAGTAAGAGGCTTCCAACCTATCTCTTGATAACAGCTGATGCTAAGTCCTAGTGTGCCTATCGAGGACTAAAGCTGCAGCAGTAACTCACCAGAATAAAGCACCATCAATGAATATCCTGCCTAGAGCCCCAAAGCMGCAATCAGTGTATGTTCAGTGCACACAGGAGGGGAAGCAACCTGAAGTAGCCTTAGCATTGATCCTACAGGCCTGTCCTAGTCACAGACCCTTTCTACTGCCTGCGTCCTGAATGCAGGTTCATCCGTGGTCTCCTTTCCCACAGAGTCCATGCTAACACCAGGAAAAAGGGAGGTAAAAGTAGATATTTAAACTCATCTTACTTTGTGTTTCATCCTCGTGTATGTGAAAAATCCAGGTATTACCTGTCACTCAGGTCCTTGCAGGCAATGCAGCCCAAGGCACATCGGTGCAATGCCCACTCCATAACCCTGGAGTGGACAGGACAGCTCATAAATCCCATCTTGTCTTTCTGTTCTGTTCCTGACCTCTGGTTTGACTCCTGACACAATCCTGACTCTTCACGTCTTTGTTCCGTGACTTCCATTAACCACCTCGACTCTTGCAGCACGCAGCTGAACGGAGAATTTAGCAAGCACTGCTCAGTGCAGAATACGGAAGATACCTGTGAAAGACAGGGAAAACCAAATGTGTTCATTGGCAGAGTAGAAAGGGATGAATATCAACATCATCAGGAGCAATGAAGGACAAGAAAATGCTTCTGGCCAGTACAAAGAGGCTGTGGGGACAAACAATGAGAAATGGGTCACAAAGCTGCATTTAGTTTCAGACAGAGGATGAAATTGTAGTAATCAACATAGCAGACATTTAGGGCCCATATAAGCATATTTTAGTGTCACAAAATGAATGAGAAAACCTTGACTTTAGAAGTGYTGTATCTTAGGAAAGAATTAGGGAGTTATCAGGGGTGAGATATACTGGGAATGTGGAGGAGAGTCATTAGCCATATCTGTTTTCCATTACCTGCTGCTGGAAACTTTGCCTCTGCTTGCCATGATTTGCTTTGCATTTATCTCAGAGAAGCTGAAAAAAAAAAAAAAAAAAAAAAAGAAGTTGACAGAATATGATTGAAAGTCAAAGAAAATAGGAACGAGTGAAGAACAGATGCCTTGCACAGAATCACAGAATGGTTGAGGTTGGCAGGGACCTCTAGGGATCATCCAGTCCAACCCCCTGCTCCAGCAGGGACACCCAGAGCACGGGGCACAGGGCGGCATCCAGGCGGGTTGGGAAGRTCTCCAGAGAAGGAGACTCCACAGCCTCCCTGGGCAGCCTGTGCCAGGGCTCTGGCACCCTCACAGGGAAGAAGTTCYTCCTCRCAYGGAGATGGAACTGCCTGGGTTTCAACTTACACCCACTGCCCCTTGTCCTGTCACTGGCCACCACTGAGARGAGCTTGKCCCCTTCCTCCCTATATTCCCGCTTCATGAACTTATACATGTTAATCAGATTTCCTCTCAATCTTCTCTTCTCCAGGCTAAACAGGCCTAAACTTAGAGCCACCAGTGAGCACAACAGACCTATACTGATGAAGAAAGTCATAAAGTAGGTGATTCTTGTGTTGCCTAGGATTTGACACAGTCCAAAACTACCTGTATATTTTCCCTCCCCCAATCCCCATTTCTTGGCTCCCCCAGGACTGATGTCCAGCTGTTACCATCATCTCCGAAATAACCAATTCCCGACCTCCTGTGGGAGGTCTCCCAGCAACCCCACCTCCTCCCAAGGCACCTTTGCCAGCTCTTCCCCTCATGTCCTGCACAGATGCACTGCACTAAAGGTCCTCCTGCACGTTTCAGCCCTGTCTTTCACTGCAAAATCCTAACCTGCTTAAGAAGGCAGGCTTTGCATTCAGGAGCTGCGTATTGCTTGTATATTTCTGGGAAACCTGACTTCTGGTACAAGTGACCTATTTCTCAGCTATGTCTTTTGATCGCATCTAGGGTATGTCAGCACTGGCAGAGGTAGTTTAGCAGTGTCCAAGAGGAGATAAACTGCACTGGCGACAGAGCTGTCTGCACCGTATTCTGCATGCACCACACGTGTCAACCTGTACYGTGCACAGCTAACATTTTCCACTACTTTCTCTTTAATATTTAAAATGCCTCTGTAACACAACCCCGCTCTGGTTCCTTACCCTGCCTGTGCTTGACAACCTCTGGGATAAACCGTGGTCCTCTCTGCCCTCTGTCCTGCCTGCAGCCTGTGCTATACCTGTCTCTTCTGCTCCACTTCCCTCCCTGCAGACTGACTCTCCTAACCCTGCCCAGCTGCAACCAGGTTAGGGGGGAAGGAAACCCATCACCGTGGAGCACAGCAAGTACCAAGTGAAAACAAATAAGGTTGCTAAGGAACGGAAAAGATAAACTCAAACCTACAAAACCCAGGAAACCGGAGGGGGTTCATACACTTCTCTTAAACACATGGCTCATTCCCCTCTCTGCTCCCTCTGTCATTTCATGTTCCCACCAAGCTAAGGCTGGATCCGTGCTCAGCACCGAGGCCCAGCGGACCGCAGGAGCCGGGCACACGGTATCTATAAATCCCATGCGTTTCATTAAGCGTGTTAGCGGGGCTACCACGGCTAAGGGTAACGGTAGCAATAGGGGTGCTGCAGCGCAGGAGCAGAGGGTGCCCATGTGCACCCCGCGGCCGGGTGAGCTCCAGCGCGGCCCGAGGCAGCTCCAGCCCGTCTGCAGACACGCTGCGAGCACAGCAGGCTCGGCTCCTGCTCGTGCTGCGGCACCTGGTGTTTCCTCACGCGTTATCCGGCTGTGAGAGATAGGAGCATGTTGCTGAAAAGGTGGTGTATTTAGCTCCAGTATCTGTATTCACCTTGAGTTAAATCCGATAGGCAAAATGAAGCAATCGGCTGTGATGCAGAGKGGTGGCTGTACATGCTGTACGCTTGGTATTGCACTGGCCGCTGCTCTGGTGGCTTTAACATTGCTTCACTGCAAGGTTGAAACTGGCCCGAAAGGTGGTGAGAGCTGTTGCTAATCTGGCTGGATCCTATTTGCTCATGTGGGATCAGAGTAACTCCTAGAGGCCATCCAGTCCAACCCCTGCTCCAGCAGGGACACCCAGAGCACAGGGCACAGGGCGGCATCCAGGTGGGTTGGGAAGATCTCCAGAGAAGGAGACTCCACAGCCTCCCTGGGCAGCCTGTGCCAGGGCTCTGGCACCCTCACAGGGAAGAAGTTCYTCCTCACATGGAGAGGGAACTGCCTGGGTTTCAGCTTGCACCCACTGCCCCTTGTCCTGTCACTGGCCACCACTGAGAAGAGCTTGGCCCCTTCCTCCCTACATTCCCGCTTCATGAACTTATACCTATTGATCAGATCCCCTCTCAGCCTTCTCTTCTCCAGGCTAAACAGGCCCAGCTCACTCAGTCTCTCCTCATACGAGAGATGCTCCACTCCCTTAACCATCTTTGTCGCTCTCCGCTGGACCCTCTCGTGGGGCTCTCCACGTCCCTCTCATACTGGGGAGCCCAAAACTGCCCCCAGTGCTCCAGTTCTGGCCTCACCAGAGCTGAGTAGGATCCCCTCCCTTGACCAGCAGGCAACACTGCTCCTGCTGCAGCCAGGATCCCATTGGCCTTCTTGGCCACAAGGGCACACTGCTGACTCATGATTAACTTGTTTCCACTTCCAAGTTTGCACCCCAGAGGCACTGCTTCAATGAATACAATTTATTGGAAACGGGGCAAGTTATAATCTTTTACTTTGTATAGAAGTCAGCAATTAGTAATTCCCCAGGCATATGGTTGTAGACTGGAGAAAAGCAACCAGAGACAGCGGTGCTTTCTTTTTTCTTTTTTTTTTTTTCATAATGATGCAAAAGAAAAATAATTTAGGTGATAATTTAAAGACACTTGAAGGTCTTTTTGAGGATATACAGCTAATACAAAAAAATATTATATACATAGCTATAAGGCTATAAGACCCTAAATGCTTGAAGCCCTTYGGATGTCACTCAGCGAATTTTATCAAACCAGCACAGCAAAAGCATCACATGTGGCACTTATGCAGCCACAATTACAACTCAGCCCTCTCATAAGGAGAGCAAACCTGCCCAGCAGCTCCCCTCCTGGGATGCAGGAAACAAGTAAAAAGATGAAGGATTTAAAATGTGCAAGTTGTGTTCAAGATATACATGTTCATTTTAACTATGCTGCAAACAWAAAGTAACAGCTTCCAAAGTGACAAGCAAAAAAAAGGTATCTTTTATGTTCCAAAATTTAGAAGAACRCACTGAACTCTGCAACTCTTCCCCTTAGCTGAGTCTTTAACTCACTCTTCACTAAATCAATCACATTGACTCTTGGGCATAAACTTAGGAGGAAAACAGATTTCAAATTCAGTTAAGAAGGCAAAAAAGGAGTCTGGTATACTTAGATTAATAAAAAGACTAAGTTACCTTTCCTCTTTGCATTCTAGGCACAAACCAAGCATTAAAGATTGAAATTCAAACCATAAAGGTTTCATCTATGCCCAAAGCAAACATTAGGTACTTTGCTACCATAGTGATGAGCGTAGTAAAAACACCTTAATCACTCCTGATTCTGCCAGTGTAAAGTAAGGCTTGGTGTAACAGTTAAAACAGTCTGGCCTATCTTTTAAGAGTTCACACTTAAGAAAACGTATTATAGTTTATTGAATATTTCAATACTGCAGTTGTGCAAAAACTGAGATACATAAACAATAAATGAACCCCGAGTCATACTGTTTAAATTATGTATATATATATATACTACCTGGTCCTGGGCAGAATTTTTCAGATGAGTTTATTGATTGAGTGTGCCCAACATAAAAGCCATAAAGCTTTTTGGGAAATGAGTCACCTGCTCATTGTGTTTGCTAATATCAACAGAACATTCAGCTTCGGAAAACTGAGCGAGTTTTATCATGTTCCTTCTTTTAATAACCAACTTCTATTTTAAAGCTTAATATTACTATATTCACTTTCAAAGGTATTAAAAAGACTTTTTTAATATAAAACTAAAGCTAATTGCAGCTGAATCTTCCATGTCTGACGCATGTATATTATAGCAAACAGACTAAACTTGAAGGCAAGAAGAGCTTTCAAAACTGGTCCAGATCATCAGGCTGATTTTGTTTTCTTGGGACTAACTGCACCATCTTCCTCAACTGACTTCTCCGCTGCCCGTTTTTTTAACCCTTTCATTTTCCTCGTCTGTAGTTTACTAAGATCCTGCTTCTGCATGTGGATTCGGCCATAAGTTGTACCAAAGGCATCCCGGGAGATATTCTTTTTCTTCTTGGGCTGTAAAATAAGCACAACATTAGCCATTCCCGAGGAGAAAGTGGTGGCAGCTCTCACCACAACCACGTTAAACTAAACTTCCAMCTTAAACGTCTAAAAGCAAGGCTGCATACGTTGTCTTCAGCTTAGAGATTAAGACTTGTCTCATTCTTATATGCTTTCAAAGGAGTGTTTTTATGTTAGCAGATAACACTACAGTGAAGTGGCTCTAGAAAGATCAGTTGGCCTGCACAGAAGTGTTGGTTGTTTATCATACAATAACTAATACKTCAGCTCTTGGCCTTTTTGCAGCTCTGCCTATGATTCAATATACTCCCGAGGGTACCCACCTTCAGGGCTTTGGGTTGTTTCAAAGACAACTTATAAAGGTCATCTGAAGCTAAATGTGTTCTCCTCATGACCAAATCTAATGAAGGGCCCATATCTTCCAGTTCAATCCTTGGTATTTTACAGCCAGATTTCTTCAGAAGTACTCTGGAAGAAAAATGCAACCAAAAATCAATATTGCCCTCTGTGACAAATCTATGCTTGCCTTCCTAAAGCACAAGTTCAATTCAGTTAACTGACAAGAAAATCAAGAACAAGCACTATTGATGATTACTGAAAATTAAATCTGTTCCATCAGAATTTGTATGCACCCAAAATCTAACCTGGGTAAGTCACTTTTGCATAAAATCAGTACTACCAGCACTAGTCTTGAAACTCAACATCAGTACTCTAAAAGCTCTATCATTCTGCAAATTCACAATAGGCCTCTTTGTACTATAGCTTATAACAAGATATCCAGAGGGTTAGCCCAGAAAGTAGATTTGTATTTATTTTTCTTTTTTCCTCTTTTTCGGTGTTTTTAGAATGAGACTTTATTAGACAACAGTCTTTTTATGACCAGAGAAGTTATAAAGTAGCACAGGACACCAGCTATGAATGCTCAGAGCGTGCTGAGGAAAAGCCTTTTGCGTGAGCACCGCTGAGTGGCCATGGGAGATGCTGCCTTGCCCTGTCTTTTCCTGTTTTGTCCCTTTGGATCCCTGGCCACAGTCCATTACCTGTTTTTCTCTGATGAGCAGCTAAGTGAGAACAAGTTTACAACGTGTAAGACGGTGCTCAGGATTCACCAAGTCATGCCTTGCTAATCTGTATACGTGGCAGTGTAGTCCTCTCAGGTAGCAAGGGAGCTCAACAAGGAAGGAGACATTGGATTTAAGGCTTAAAGTGTTCTCTTTCTGCTCTATAAGGCATTTTGTATCGTGCTCAAAATACTACTTATTTCAAATGCAGCAAACTATTGCTCGAGGCAGTTCAATGACACAACCACAAGCTGAAAAAAAAAAAAGCTGACAAGCATGCCAAACAAAAAATCAAATAGGTAAAACAAACTCACTTATAGCTCCGCATGTAAATTTTGCCATCTACAGCTGTGAAATGCAGAACATGTTCCAAACCAGCCAGACGAATATTGGACACAGTAGGACCTCTGAAGAAATCTGAGAGAATATTCAGACAGAATAAATGCCAGGTTTCTTGACTGGAAACCAAAGCAACAGATGACTGTAACAAATTGGCTTATTTTAATAAAGGATCTAGACCAGTGTGGCAATATGAACCCAGATAAAGTGAGTCTATAAATAGATTTAGCTTTTCTAGTGCCATCCAAAATGTTCAATCTCATGTGATAGTGACTACTTAAAACAGCAACAGGACTTCCCAGAGACAACCTGGCAGTAGTACACCTAAAAACAAATGCAAATATACTTGCAGAGTAATGGCTTGGTTTTACAAACTAATTGGGATAATGGCACTGCCTCTCCTTCCAAATCTTTAGCTCTGAAGTCAGAAAAAAAATATAAATGCATTTAGGCCAAGTCATGCTTAGCTAAATACATACTATTAATACAGAAAAAAATTATAGTTCAGATACCTAGTGTAAAACAGCATGCAAGAAACTCATGCCTAAGAGTCTCTATCAGAGTCAGATTGGCAAGAATACAAAGAACTTACCAAAACTAGTGCACAAAAAAATATAAAATATATATATATATATATATATATATATATACACACACCATTTAACTTTATCTTGACTACTCCTAGTCTTATCTGTATTTTTTCTTATGGTTTTGGGAGAAGAGTTTTGGTACGGCCTTTCTTTCATATCCCCCCACTAAGGCCAAAGTAAGTATTTTTGTTCAGTGTGTACTATCTGCCATTACTAAAATTAGTATTTTCTTTATTTAAGAAACAGTAAATGTCTAAAAAAAAAAAATAGAAGTTTAAAAATTTTTGCTTATTTTGCAGAGAAAATACTCTGAATGAAATATAAAATGACTTGCCTCTAGTTAGGTTCTTGTATTAGGCTATGAAAAATACAGAGCCATCAGAGAGCTTGCAGGAATAAGCAAGCTGTCCAACATGTGCAGGGGGTGGAGAAAGAATGTGACCTTGACTGAGGGAACAAGGTGTGCTAATAAACACGACGGGGCAATGCTGAAATTCTGGAGAACTGCTAACAGCTGTAAAACACATCATTCTCTCCCATCCTGTCCCATTTGCAGATTCCTCGGCTAGTGCTCTTTTCCTCTGCTATCTTTTTTTTACAGAAGAGAGAGTTGTCTACACTGGAATGGCACCCAAAACCACAGTCTTGCTAGCAGATAGCAGCTGGAGTCTAGCCCAAAATTGCCTAGGTCAATTAAATCTTCCTCCCTTCCTGGGCTGAGCTTGTAGCCAGAGGAAAAGTCACAAATAAACTATTTTGATCACTTTTTTTTTGTATGAATTTTCCTTTTAACTAGGTTCTTTTGGGTACAGAGCTTACATCYACTGTGGTTTTACTGGCATTACCTCCCTTTGGTGTCTTCCTGTGCCATCATACAGCCTTTTACCCACAGAATGATCCTTTCCAGGCACATGCAGGTGGCTAGGAATTTCTGTTTCCTGGCAATGTTCAAAAGCTGCAGAAACCTCCCACTTTAGTGTGCCCACAGAACCCAGCGTGCTCTAAACTTGCAACTCTTGCTTTGGTTGGACTAGACACCTCGTTTTCTCCCGTCTTTCCCTCCCTAATTCTTTCCCCACCTTGTACTTAACTCATTTTCTGGACTTCTATTTTTTTTTCTTGTAGAAAGCCTTTTCATTTCAAGACTGAAATCCTAAATTATTTTGGAACCTGAGCTGATATATATTTTTTGCATTAATCCATATGCAGAGGCTGGTACCACTATGGCCTGTGAAGCTACAGTTACCCCTACAGAAGCTCAAACTCTGCTCCAGACTCCCTTTTTCCGCATCTTCCTTCATGGTTAGCAGTAACCCACAAATCTTTGAGACACTCAGAGAACCAGTGAGAGGAAGCCAAGATGAATATTAAGCCGATGCTCGATATAGAAATTGTACAGGTGCCCTTCAAGCCAATGTTCAAGCATACAAGCAAGCCAGCCAGCCCCTGGCACTTTAGTGAAAGTAGGGCCCAGTAACAGAACTTTGCAAGATATGAAGCATTTTATAAATACAGGCACATGTTACGGGAATGTCATCAGCTGCATTTAAAGAACATCTGAACAGATTCCTATGCCATTACCTAGGCAAGGAAAACCAAATGAAGAGAAAGAGAATGATGTCTTTCAGGTCTCCAAAGGAAAAAACAGCTGCTGCTTAAGTCTCCTAAACAACTTGTTACACCTTATAATAAGTGCACAAAGGGGTTTGGTTGCCATGAAGATGGTTATTCACTGTTGCCCTCCATCCCTTGCCTGTAATTCCATAAGGAAACTGCTGTAAAATGATATTCCCAACACACATAAACCCTGTTGGTAGTACAAAGGCATGTGAGAGCTTGCGTGTTGAGCAGCATGGTCAAGGTAACGCTGCTGTGGCAGCAAGCGGCTGCTGGATACCTAATGTCCCCCCTGGAGGCTCAACAGCCCTGCTGCAGTAACAAAGCATTTGATGCTGTTCCATCAGCATCAAATAAATACAAAGACATTTTTCTAACCTTCTAAGCAAATAGATCTTATGCAGGAACAGAAAGAATCGATTCTTCCACATCAGGGACATGCAATTTTGAAGTAGGTCAAATTATTACCTGAATTATTTTAACTGGTTGCTGGTATCTTCGAGCCTTTATACTCCTTAACCTTTCTTTGTCTATTGTTTGGCATCTAGATATTTCATAAAAGTCGACAGAACATTAAGAATTGCAGTACTTGGAGTACATTCAACAAGACAAATGGGATTGTTGATCTGAGTACATCTGACTGCAGACATTCATTAAAGGCTAATTAATAGGAGGATAGAGTGGAGATGAGAGGAGACACAGAACAGGAGAGACCAATTAGCCATTTGGCAACTATCTAACAATGCAAGTGTCCTCCGTTCAAGGCATCAAGCTGTTGTGGGGTAACCTCAGCTGCATGAGCACACCTGCGTATGAGCCACCTGGAAGCCAACTGCCAAGAGTGTGTCCACATCTTAACAGCTATGCATTAGAAAGTAACGCACATGCTTTGTGCATCTACGTTTACAAAAACATGCATTACCAAACCTCGGGTATCTTCACATTCCATATTTGCCACCTCCAAAGATCTATAAGCAGTTACCAACCTTTTACCTAGGAACCAGTCAGATGTACTTAGAGGACGGAAATTTCCTCTCCTCCTTCCTTTTCAGTTAATTCTAGATGAACCAACATGCTCTAGAGAACTGTCATAGTGAGGAAAATCGCATTTCTAAGGTGTGCTTCTCAAGCAATCTCTGTTTGCCTAGGAAGGAGAGCCCTGCCAATATTTATTTTATATGAAAGGGACATCTAACAAAGTTGTAAGATTGTAGGTTAGCGCAACTCCAGAGGACAAAGCAGAATCGAAGAAAAAAGCCTTTTCTTATTGTGCAGTTTCACTATTTTATTAGAGCTTAAAAAAAAAAAAAAGAAAAGAAAGAAAGAAACAGGAGGAGAATCTTGTTTTAGGAATCCTACTAAAAAGCAAAAACCACCACCCAACTTCTACCTCTGATTTTACTGAGCATGCTGTATTTTTTCAAGTATCAGGAGATAAGCTATCATACAACCCCTAAATCCCTCCAAATTATCAAAAAACAAAAAAAGAACAAACTCATTTCAGTTCCTCAGAATTCAGTGCCGAACCCCACAATGTGCCTTATCTTCCTTGAGACAGGAAAAAGCTGTAAGTCATTTGGTTTACACCACTTTGAGCCTGCCTTGAAGTTTTAATGGAGAATCTTATTATCTGGATAATTTTTATTGCACATGCACATTCCAGACACTCAAGTCAATGATGTATTTGTCAGAAATGGTCAAATTTCTAACAAAAAATGCTTTCATCATGAAAGCACAGGCTCAATTATATTGATTTTTTCTTAAAGCAAAAAATAAAATTCATTTTCTTAATCCATTTAATTCAAAATTAGGTACTTCAAAATTACTATTGGTCAGAAAATTGATGATGCACTACCAAGTACAAAGCAAACACTTTGAAAATGTCAGAAATTTCTCCACAACCAAAATTATGAATCTTGGCAAGCTCAAAGTTTCAACTTCAAAGTCTTTTAGGCCATTTTTTCCCTCTATACTTTCAAGTAGCAGTCACGATGATGAGTTTGCTTTGACTTCATGTGACATCAAACTCGCAAGTGCTACTTCTTCCAAGTTTTCTTTCAGTACAGAACATGAGGAAACATTTAGTGCCAAGGCAACATTTCCTAACAGACCCTATGGCTACAGCTTTATGCAATCCCACTGCTCAATCAATGCAAATACTGACCAATAAGAAGGCTCTTCAGTCTTCTGTATTCTTCATTTAAATCAAACAGGTCACCAGCAAATATCAACATAGGTTTTGTTCCYTCAGGACATTTACTGTTCTGTGGGATAAGAATTTTAAAACAAAAGTTATTGATTTAATGGCTGACCAGCTATTCAACATTCAATACAGAATTATTGTGACTTATGATCAATATAGGCAGACACTTACTAATTTTTATTTTTTTTAACTTGGGATGATTATGTTTGTTAAACTCTCTACTGTAAAATATTGGAGACAAGATCTTGCAATGAAAGTAAAAGTAAACTTGACTGCAAGGACTAATAAGAAAACTATAGATGCAGGCAAACAAGTTTGTTGTGTTTCTGACCACAGGGCACATGAAGAAGGCTAAAGGGATAGTTTAGTCAGTCACCTAACTCTAATTTTGGTATCAACATATACAATTACTTAACTATGATTTCCATGCTACAAACAAAAATTATGAAGATATATACTACAATCTGATTTCAAGAGGAAAATTCACCTTTAAAAAAGGTAATTATCCCTCTTGACTGTGCCTTTAATTTACAGGCTGTGGTGAAAGTGAGGATTGCAAGTATTATTTATTTTTTCAGTGTATGAACTGCTTGCTTACAAAAATATGCACACACAAAAGAGAGCTGTTTTGGCTAACTAAAACACAACACTGGCATAATAAAGTAAAGTTTCTCAGGATTTAAATAATTGAGATGTTAGCCCTTAGTCTGAATCAAATATAGTTCCCTGGAAACTGGCATTTGTGTGCTGCTGAAGGCTACAGAAAGTTTCGGGATCTCTCACTACTTTATAAATTACTGTCACAGAGACTCTCGTGGGTTATCGTTTGGAAACACTTTACCCTGGCACAAGCAGTGTTTGCTGAAAGAAACAATCCTGTTGTCAAGTCAATCCATCTTTGAACCAGCAAATATGTTTATGTGGTGAAGAAGTGAAGTGATCAGGCTGGAAAACAACCCCTCCCAGCTGCCACTGGGTTGTGTTGTACCAAATCAATTCTCCATAGCATTTTGCTGCACAAACTTTCTGGTCAGGACATGGCTACACAGTGGTGTCCTTGTCGCTGGCTGGATCACCTTCTGTTTTTTAGAAGGACTTCAGTTTAAAAAGCAAAGTCAGTTTATATAAGAACTTTAGGAACCTCTCATGGGGATCTGACTGAAGAGCTTCATGAATGCAATGAATTAAAAGTACAAGTATTAGGAATAAACCAAGTCTACTAAAAGAATTGGTAAGCATACAGTTAACTCCTCAAAAAAATCAAACAAGAAAACATAATAACAACATTAAGGTACACAAATCTAATAATCCTCAAATACTACRAGAAACGTTTTTTAAAAAGATCCTGTTACTGCTTCTAAGCACAAAAATGCCAGTGCATCACAAACCCACCAGCAGAGGTCACTGAAAAGCTTGYGCCTCTTCTCTTACCTTGATGTCTTTTAGGGATACAAACTTCTCAATGCCCAGCTCAATCATATCCAACACCTGGTAATCAAACATGCGACCTGTGAAGAAAAATCAGGAATAAAATTCATCCATTCAAGTATTTACTGAAAGCTAGAYATTCATTCGATTACAAACACAAGTGAGTCACGTTACCTATTATCAAATTGTTAGGTCGCTTCTTGTTATGAGAGCCAAACAGAAACAAGGAACAATCCGATTTCTTTGAAAAAAATTCCTATCAGTGGAAAAGAAAATAAAACACTTCGTAATTTTGTAAGAATTTAAAATATTTGGCAAAGGCATGTATCACAAGCATATAAGTTTAGAAACTCTTGACAGGACTAAACAGAAAAATTAAGATCTCCAGGTCCACATATGCTGAAATTGACTACTAGATCCAGTAAGTCAATTCCTCCCACTTATTTATTTTTTATTTCCTAATATTCTTACAGACCAAGCCAGGCAATTTACTTTTCTTGCCATTTTCCCCAAAACATCCTTTTTTGTAATTCTTCATGATGTTTTTATATAAGCCACCTTCAATTACTACTCATTACCCGAAGAGTAGTAAGTATTTAAGCACATAATGTCTCATTTGAGTTACTCAAGTAAGTTTTACGTGATATTATAGCCTTACCTAACAGCTTCTCAACAACTAGTTAATTCCTTCAAAGGGAAGTCAAGGTGCATCTGCAAATCTCTAGCATTCTCTCAGTAGAGCACGRGGGTCCTTATAGAGCACTTTCATGTCAATTTGTTACTTGATTAACACTAAGATGGCACTGAAAAATCAAGGTACTAGTGACTGTGAGAGATCTTTTCCCTGGAGGTGCCACTGGAGAACCTGTTAGTGGTGCATCAAGAGCCAGGTATAGTGGTCCTTTCTGAGCATGTCCAACTCCAAAACCTTAGTGGACACAGCTGCTTCTCAGGGCAGAGATTCCTCAGTACATCTGCACACACACAATTTATCCAGGACCTCCCAGATATACCAGAGTTTCTGTACCTGCACTTGGCAGCTGCAAAGCACGTAAAAACAAAAAAGAAAAAAAGGAAGAAAAACCCCACCTCATAGCACCTCCTCCCATGGCAGGCCCCTGGGAGCACCATTGTTCATGAGAACAATCTGTCTGGCCTGCAGCTCTTCCCTTTGGGGACTGCAGGAAACATTGCCACTGGGAGCAATCCCAGGCTGGATGAACGGCACGTACCTTGCCGAGCTTGGCCACCAGCTCACTAAGAGCCTGGACACACCAAGAACAGAGCAGACAGCTCACGGAAACACTCACTCATGCAGCTGTTTATCACTGCACTTCAACATGTGTTAATTCTAAAGCAGCTGCATGGTGWTTAATTAGAAGAGTGCAACAAACTCAAACGCCTTGGTTGTACCCCACATACACTGCAACGCCTCCTCTATCAAACATGCCTGAAACCAAGAGGAGAGCAGACTGACTCCCTTTCCATGCCTTTCTAGCCCCCGATTATTTTTTGAAACAGTTCTGAAAGATCCACTCCACTGGACTTCTCCTGGTTATGGAAATTAAAGTTCCCTACAGGACCTTTTCTAAATATTAAAACCATTTTAAGTGCCATAATTTCCCATAAATTACAAGAAGTTCACATCAGTGGTCATCTGACAATCAACTGGTTCCTACATGACCATAAGTCATCCAGCCATGTGACTGCAAGGACTTCAGTTTCACCAAATAACACTGCAGATCTTGCCTCGCTGCCCAGAGTCCCTCTCCACTCCAGCACGATGCTGTATGGGATGGTCACATCACTGTGCTTCATGCTGAGAGCAGAACCACAAGCTGCATCACCCCAGCATCAATATCTGACGTAGATTAAGTCCTTCCTTCACTTCAGGGTGCATTTTCAGTAAATTTCAACAACTGCTCCACACTTTGGAAAGCTCATTATTTTTCACCTACAAGTCAGCAGTAGCATACAACACTACCAAAGCTTCAATAGTGAAAATCAAACAGCTTAGTCTGGAATAATTCGCTTTTCTTTGTTGTAAAATCACAAGTGAAGGAAAAAATATAATACACTTATGATTTAAAGACCATATCCCACTAATGTAATGCTTTGATTAAATGGAGATTTATAATCTTGGGATTAGCCCCTCTGTCTTTTGCCTTCCTGCTCAACACTGAATCGAGGCATATCGGTAAACGGAGGAGAAGGAAGGAGGTTTGGAAGGAGACTCCAAGCCTCTCAACAGTCATTTTTCCAGGCCAAATATATGGCCTGGAAATATAATACATATATTTACAGGCCAAATATATGTATTTAACTGAAATTGCTCATTTTTTTCTGACAGTTCTTGTCTGAATGTTGGAACAGAACTCACAAGAAATCACCTACTTGCACTGCACATGCATGTGTTTGCATGGACTGCTCTGCTGTGCTCTTCCTCCTCTTCAAAATTACCAAGAGTTACAGAAACCAGTAACTCCTTCATTTAATTATTTTAACCTATGAATTCATCAACCTGAAAAAGGACTGTTCATAAGCTATGGCAGTTTAAACGACTGTTAGAAAAAAAGTCAAAATAAAGTCCTTTATTTTTCCTTTCATATCAAGCCCTGTTACTTGTAACAGTGTTACACAGCCCTAAAACTGTCAGTTTACAGAAACATGTGTTTAATGTAGAAATAAAAGTCACAATAACACGAAGATTCTGTCTTGTGGACACTGGGAAAAACACCTGCCTACTGACACCTACCTTTAGTTTATCCAAATTTCCTATAAATTTTATTTCTCAGTTTATTCCTCACAGAATAATGAGAAACTATCTTCCAATCAAGTTCTTCATGACTTTATAGCTGCAAAATCTCCATAAGTCACAAAAATCATGCGGCTTATACTTACCAAAGATGTTTGATCCTCAAAAGGTCTGGTAATATTTTTCCTGAGAGGGGATAAAAGTAGAAAAAAAAACACAAAACAGGTAAGAACAAATTCGCTTGAGAATTTCCAGTTGTCTAGTAACAAGACTCTGGATTCTACCAGAAACTTCAGCATTAGAATTTTAGTTTTAGTTCAAAGTGTAGTTCATAAAAATTCTGCCAGGTTTTCACTAGTAGCTGCCTCTGCCATATTTAAAAGCTTCCCCTGAGGTTTTCTGTCTTCTGTAGCCTGACTTTCAAATAAACTTTCAGTAACATGTTATGAATAACTGTCTTTGCTTGTTCATCAAAACCACATTTAATTTAGATATTGCTATGAATGTTAGAGCATGCTTGGTTCCCACTCCGAGCAGGCTAGAGTTACCATTATAATCTGTACCTCGAGTTTCTAAGAACTGGGAAAAATAACTCCCTGGTTGATCTACAGAATCTCCCTAGATGTTTTCACAGACCAGAATCCGTTTGAGTTTGCTGGATTCTGCTCCATGGCACTTGATACAGAACCAGGTTTAATAAGAACGATCAGCTGCAGCTTTGTCCAACCTACTGAAATTGAGGTTGAATCCCGGTCACCTTCTGCAATCCCTTCCACTTTTCATTGCTGCTGCTTTGCACCCCTAGCCCTGCTTTGAAATTACCAAATGCTATTTGTCAGAAGACTCAAAGATGTCAAAATGGGACCACTTACTTCTTAAACAACACGGCAAAAGGTTTCTTCACAGCATACTGCAAAACACACAACCAAAGTTAAACATACATTTTCTCTCATACATTTAAAACTACAGTACTGCTGTTTTTAGAAAYACTATATCTTACAGGATCACTTTAAATAAAATAATTGTTTGCACAATCTAGACTACAAAAGAAGTCAGTTCAAATGATCTACTTCCAATAAAATTCTCCGGGACTATAACACTAATCTTGATTCTCAGTTAATTGCAAAAGGACTTCTTTCTAGAAACTAAGAACTAAGTAAAAACCAACTAAGATGAAAGCCACGTAACAGAATCCTCCTGCTTCTATGGACATGAGTAAAAACAGGGAAGAAACAACTAGCTGATTTTCAGTCAGCAGAGCACAGGAAGAAAACAGCAAAGCAAGGAAAGAAAATAGGGTAGGAACAGTCACAGCATGTTCAGCGATGGGGTTAGGAGACAGGATGTAGACAGTGCCTAAGCCTAAGTTCTGGGAGAGGGTCTATGTGAGATCCAGTCCCAGCTCTGCACCTCCTGTCTACAAATGGCCTGGAAACACTTTACCTTATATTCCTGGACAACCACAGAAAAAAAAATGATAAAGAGAACAGCTAAAAGATTTTGGCAAAGATGGAACACGAAGAAAAAACTAGTGACAACAAAAAAATGCTGGAGTAGGTAAGGATGCCTTTAGAGCACCAGTTATAATCTGAAATTTGAGGGAGTAGGGAGAGCATGAAAATATTATCTTGCAGCAGACAACAGGTAAACTGTAAGAGACAGAGAAGGGAAACTACTCTTGGTATAATGCCACAGGTTGTTACTAAAGGCCACATTACATATAAATATAAATGTGGGAATATATATATTTATATCCAACAAACTTACGATGTCTTTAAGCACATCAGTCACTGTTAAATTTGCATTTCCTCCTTTTATAAGCATAGCATTTTTCGTATTTTCTGTGAGTTTGGGTTCTCTCTTCTCAAGAAACCTTTTTGCTCTCTTCGTCTTAGGCTTTCTGCAATGATACATTAGCAATAAAAAAAAAATTATTAGAAAAACATTATTAGTAACAGTACCTGACACTGCACAGAATAAAACAAAGTCTGAACAAAATGTGTTTAAGTAATACAGCTCTGATTCAAACTAATCCCAGCCTGCAGAATTACAGACAGCACTAGAGGTCCCTTCTGAGATTAACATGTTTCACTAAAACATCTCCTCCACTCCTTCCCAGCAAGTTAGTACAGGTGGTTTTGCAGTCCTGGCCACTTTCTGACAGCTTGGATTTTAAGGTGTGTTGCCATAGATTCCTAAAAGTTTTCTTCCACACCAGCCCCTTCCCCAACCCAGAGACTGACACAGGAAGAGCAAACAAAACAAAGCTCCTTGAAGGCCATCAGTAGCATCCACAAGAGAAATGTCAACGGTGCTTAAGCCTGGCATGTCAGTTGACTCAAAGCAGACACAAGTCCCACGTACTGGGCTGGGTGATGTACACCTGACAGTAYATAGCACCTTATAGGAACTTATCAGTCATCTTAAGCTATAGCAAAGGGTGAAAAACAAGCAAGTGTAGCGGCAGTTTGCATGGGTATCACACAGATACAAAACCAATGAGGAACCACGGGGCTTCAGAATGAGGTGTTTCATCATCAAAACAAAGCTTTACAGATCTTCTCTGCAAAGCAYGAGAGCTACATTTTTCTTATTGAATATATAAAATATATATATTTAACACATATCCTTGGAACTACAGGTGACAAAGACAGAGCTCCTCCAGGTGGGCAGACACACATCTCGCTTGCTACAAGGAAAGCGATGCCCACAGCTCCTTTAAGCCGCGAGCTGGGTAAGCGCGGTCTTGCCCCTAAGTCAGGCCGCAGGGTTGGGTTCCTCCCCGCACGCCTTCCCTTGCCTTTTCCCGCTGCCAACCGCCCTTGCCCCGTTCTCCCCCCTTCCTCCCAGCCCTCTCCACGCCGCCCCGTTTAACGCTGCCCGTTTGGTGCTCCCGAGAGTGGGGGGGGGGGGAGGGGAGCGCGCGCTGCGGCCAACGGTCGCGGGGCTTCTAACGGCCGCGCGCCCCCAACTCACACCACGCGCTCCAGCGCGTCCATGGCCGCCGCCGCCCGGCCCACGTGCGCACCCCGTGACGTCACCGGCGCCGGGGAGCATGCGCGCTSGGGGGGAAGGCGCCCGGCTGCCCCCGCGCGGCAGTTTCCCGCCTCAGGCGGCTTCCCATTCCATGCGGTGCGAATCCCGCCCCGCCGGGAGCAGGAAAAGCAAGGGGCCGAGCTCCCTTCCCACCTAAGGGATGCTGAGGTGAAACGGCCAAGGAACGGGAAAGAAGATGCTGAACAAAACACAAACTGAGCCACCTGCTTTGATGCGTAACAATCTTAGCAAACACTAATCACAAAATTTAGACTTCTTTGAAATTCTTCTTTCTATAACTGTGGTGCAAGAACACAGTATCTGACTGAATAAGGTAACAGCAGCTGAAACCACRCATAGAAGTGTCAGGGCTTTATTCTTCTTGCCCATTACAAGATGTCTCACATTGTACAATACATTTTTTTCCCCTCAGCTAGTTCGTTCTTATATAGCTGTTTCTTCCTCTTCAGTTCTGAGGTAGAGATACATACATTTCCAATTTGCATTTAAAAAACCCAAATACATAAAAATATATAAAAAAACCCCACCACGATCCAGACATTATTATTATCCAACCAGTATTATACAAGAATATAAAGTCAGTTTTTCCCTACTAATTGCTCAAACAAATCGAAAATCAGGTCAAGGCCCTTAAAATTGTTCCCTTAACTCCACAAAGAAATCCTGAAAGCATCAGAGCAACCATCACGGTGGGGCTTTGTCTAAGGCAGCACTTCTGGAAGGAGAATCCTCCGCGGCAGAAGCCGGGCTGTCAGGCAGAGGAACCGAGGCACCCACTTCCAAGCTGGGCTCCTTCTCCAAATCACCACTCAGGTCAGAATTCCCTCTGTCGCTCACCTCTCCCTCTGACTCCTCAGTCAATTTGTCCTGGGCCTGAGCCGAGTCTTCACCATCTTCCCTTTCACGCAGAAAGCTACAAATCATGTTGGGTCTACTGTAGGAAAAATCTCTGTCCTTGATCTGTAACCACTCCACACCAYCTGACACAAAGGAAGAAAGGAGATGTTAGTGACATGAGCAGTTACAGTTAATGGCATATTTTCTTAAGCCTCCTATGTCTTAAGGCTGAGACAGATCAAGAAAAGGACTTAAGCTACAAAGGAATCCTTCAGGTATTGCGTCTGACACTATTTTTTGTGCTTAGTTCTACCATAGCCTCGAAAATGCTCATTTTCTCGGAAAAATAGGGCTAAAAGTCACAGAAAGATATTTGATTAAAAAAAATAAATGGCACAGAAACTTCCCTGTTGATAAATTCGCAACAATACACATAGGCTAAACCAATTCTACTCTGTATTACATAGCAGCACATTTCCATTTGCTGTCATTCAAGAAAAAATAATACTGGAGTCGCTACATGTGGCTCCCTGATGTCAAAAGCCCAGTGCCTAAAGAGCAGTCTCCAGGGAGACAAAATGTTAAGAACCTATTAGGAACGTAATGAGAAGCAGTAACATCATTATCTGAGCACAGGATGTTTTTATATCTCATGTTATGAGGACTGCGTCCTGCTCAACGCTTATGGTAAAATTAGAAGTAGGAATTGGCCAAGAAGTTAGCTCTACAGAGGATAAGACAACGCTGCTTTCACAAAAACAAACAAACAAACAGAAACAACAACAACAACAACAAACAGAAATCAATCAAGAATGCCTACAGTAAAATAGTACTTTTCTTTCTCCATATGATAGAACTGTGATTGGAAAGCTAACTGTCGTAAGACATGGTGAAAGTTAAAAGTATAAACAGATTCAAAAAGTGAATGGAAAAAACAAGAGGATAGAGCCTTTATGAACTACAGACATAGTTCTCTAGATAAAAATTCTTGCTCAGAATATTCATGAATTGCTGAATGCTGAACATGAAGGATATCCAAACAAAAGAATCACTTTCATATATGCCTTATACTTTTTCTTGGTCATAATCAGGAACAAAATACAGGATTAAAATACCTTTGGTCTGATCCAGCATGGAAGTCCTATTATACTTCATATGTCAGACACCACTCTGGAAAACTCCCAAAATAACTTATGCATCATGCAAACTGCTGAGAAGGTGCAGCAAAGAGAAAGTGTTTGTTCACCTAAGTGTTCGTGCATCTAGTAATGGGATAGGGAATGACATCAGAGACATCATAAGAATTTGTGTCCTCTGTTGAAYTCAAGTATTTCAAGCTCTTGGAATACGTAGCCAACAGACTCCAAAGGGAATTGGAATTCCCCTGCCCATTTAAATAGACTTTAGTAAGTACATATTGTCAATTGCCAAGGTGTCCTATGTACTCTGTATGCACTTCTGTCAAGTGGCAGAAAAAAAAATGTTTTCTTTTTTTTTTTTTGAGCAAGTATCATTGTTCCCTGGGGCAGGAGGGGAAAGCTTCAATATTAAGCAGCCCCCCCCCCCTTTTTTTTTATTCTATTGCACTTTAAAATTATTTTTTAAAAATATTATCTCATCTAGTCCAATACTTAATTATATGGAGAGGAAAAATGGTGCATGGAACTGATAAGATGCTGACTTGGGACTACAAYGATATTTCACATGATATTTCACATTTTATCTCGTATGAGCACATTCCAGTTGAATACACACTTATTTAATCTAAAATAACYACATATTCTTAAAATGTGAATCAGTACCACTGACTTGAGGGAAAGAAGCAACCAAAAGCAATAGGGCATTGATAAAATGTAGTACTGTACTGCATGTAGCAGGATACTTTGCATCTGAATCTGAAACAGTATCGACTTTCATACAAAGAAATTACCACAGAAATAAGGCAAATGAACAAGCAGAGTTCTGCCTATATAACAACAAAAAAAAATARTCTGACAGGTATAACTTTGCAAGAAAGTTAAATTCAATTAAAGCTACTTTTAATTCAGTAAGAACTATTTAGTTGTAGTACATAAAACACAGAAGTTTACAGATTTTAAGCACCTACACAGACTCCAAAAACCATAAGGTGAATTGATGGAAATAAAAATAAAATCAATGAAGAACTATTACACACAAAGATAGCCCCTCTAACTTCAGAGCTGGTGCCAAAACTTTATGATGACTGGATGTACCAGGGAGTGTCAGTGTATGTCAACTCTTCTTACACTCTTCCGTGGGCACCTCCTAGCCATTTGGGGAGACACAAGATACAGACGAGAGATTCAACTGGATCTGAAATGTCTTTTTTTCTTTTGTTAGCCTTTTTTTGTTTGTTTTGTTTTGTTTTTAAGATGTACGATGGTTCCCTAAAGGAGAAACTTAATCTTCTAATTTCTTGCACACTTGACTGAGACACTTGTACACTCCTAGCATAATCCATTAGTGGATTATGTTCCTATGCATAACTATGTATGGATGTGTAAGAATGGAGGCACTAACCGACATTCTCTTCGCCTTCCTTCTTCTCTGTTAATAGCGTCCGTGTCATATTCAGTTTCTTCATTGTATGGCACTTGTATTTCAGCTGTAGCTTCTGGTTGCCTTCAGCATCTGCCATGAAGAAAAGAGAAAAAACAATTCCTGAAGTCCAATTATTGTAGTGAATTTCAGTACCAACTGAAACAAGATGAAAATTGATTTTGAACCTCCCAGGCTACCACAACAAACAGGATATCAAATTACATTAATTACCTTGCTCTGCATTTTCTTCAAAAAACAGACAGGTCCCCAAGGTATCTATGGAAAACAAAGTGACAGAGTTTTAGAAACTAATTCTATCGGACATAGACATGGCATTCAACAGCACATATGGGAATATTTTAATTTCTAGTCCTTTCTGGTCCACCTTGCCAGCCTAAGAACAGGATCATCAAGGTCACTGTCTGCAGGTCCTAAAAAGGGAGCTTTCCAGGTAATTTTCTTCTCTATTTTTTACCACCGTAAGGCAAATGGGAGAGGTACAGAACACGTTGATTCTGCTTACATAGGACACAGTAATGCCCTAGAGACTTACTACATTCACATTATCCCCTGGGAATACCAGCTGGTACACTCCACAGCAGCCAGCTTTCAGCTCTAAGTCATGCGGATGCACAGCTGATTTAGCACTGAACCCCAACCCATGCTGGTCTAGCTGCGGTTACACAAACATTGCCTAGAAGTTCAGCACTCCAAAGCCCAGAGTTGACCATCTGCAGTGAATTTAACTAATATTAAAGAAAGTTTCATTTAGTCTTGTGAAAAAGGAGAGATAACATCCATGTCAGCTTTCCTACCTTCGTACTCTCCAGCAAAGACATATCTGTCCACTTGTAAAATAGGCCTCTCTGTCTCTATTCCCTACAAAAGCGCAGACAAAATTGCACAGACGTCAGGTCTTGCAGTCAACACAAACTTCTTGGTATTGGATCAGAGAAGATAACATACAATAGAATCCAGATTAAATCWTCACATATCAAGATTTAGACAAGCAGATGAAAGAGTTTTCTGAAGGCTGTGAGGTAGCCAGCAGACCCCTGACAGAAGAGGATGGGAAACAATCAAATTAATCCTTAATCACGTACCYATAATGTAATAGAAATATTTTTAGTCATTACAACTGATGCTGAGATATTTGCCTATCTGGGGAAAAGAAACAAACAAAAAAGTTTTCTTTGTTTTTATGGGAGGCTGTTGTAAAACTGAAAACAAAATTATTTTCATGATGATTTTTCAATCATCATTATAAACTCAAAAAAGCAAACAAACCAAAARAAACAGTATACAGAGGACAAAAGTTTAAATCAAACAGCAATCAGCTTTTATTGCCCTCCCAAAAAACATTAATAGTAGTTGTAAATTAACCAACTAAAAGTGTATCTATTTTCATGAAAAACTAGTTCTAAAAAAGTWGTTCTATCAGTTTGATCTGTTTGCATGAAAAATTTAGTTCTAAAGCAACACTTCTAAAACCAACTTGTTCCTTTACAGCTGGGCCTGCTGAGTTCTACGGKCATTGAGTCCTTTCAAGCACACTGGGTCAGGTTCTTATCATACACAAGTTGACATATAAGCATATCTAAAAACTACATTTTGCTAAAAATGTAAGCCTGGATATATTAAGGTAAAATGTCTTTTAGAAAAATACTGTAAACATCAGCTATATTCAAGTTACAAATATAAACATATCCCAAAAACTTTTCAGATGAGGGACTATGTGATAAATCTAAACACCCAAAGAGCATTGCATAGTTCACCACAAATACATGAAATTTTCCCTTGTATTTTTAACAAATAGAAGTATTTCTAAGATCAGCAAGAATTAAGCCTTGGGATTCTCCTCTGCTCTGGAAGTTGAAAATATCAGCAGCATTAAACTCATTGAGAGAACATGCTTTTTTACTATAGAAAAAAAAAGGCAAAAATGTCATAGTATGTAGAAGTAAGGTTTTTAATATTCAAAACCGATTATTCCTTTGGTTAAACTGTCATTCCACTTCAAACTATAAAAATAGATGATTTTCTATATGATCAGCATCACAGAAAAATTGATAAGCAAAAACAACACGTGACAAAATCTTTTACTGGTGTTTTAACAGTTTTCCATGGTGAAAAATAAAATAATAAAAAAAAATCTCCAGGACTGGTTCATGTGGTAAACAGCAGGCATATTTTGCTATGAATAAGATGTAACAACATAACAAAACAATCCCAAGGCATAAAATTTAAAATAATCAAATAACACTATCGAAAAAAATATGCAACAGTTTAATTATAGCAGAATWGTTTGGGTAACACATTTCAAGCGACTGAGGTTACTCAGGAAATCAACTGCCTTAAAAAGTGCGATGTCTCTGTAACTGAGATTTTCCAAATTGATTTTTCTACCTCATATATATTCCGATTACTGGCACACTGGGAGATATTCTCCTTCACTTTGCAGCTGACAGTCTATCAAATCTCCCATTTCACAAAGTATTTGCATATCAGTTACACTTGTACTCTGTACAAAACCCTCAGTCAGAGCAGTTTCTTTGGCCTAGCAAATAAGCTTGTACCAAAGAAACTGATTAAACAACTCAAAATAAAAGGCACTTGGTAACTAGGTCCAATTCTTGCAGTAACTTTGTAGTAAATAATCGGTTTGTATCTGCAATACTGCCACTTGCCAGACAGTATCTGCAAAAAAGCTGGGAGTAAGACTGGATCCAGATTCACCCAGACTCCCTGGGGAGGGCACTTGGAAAGCAAGGGGGTCCATTCTGAACCTCAACAGGAGGGTCCCCTTGACACTTCCATCTGACCCTGCCCTCCATGCAGTAAGCTAACCTTGCCATCAACCCTCGTTCAGTCACTCTTATTTACAGTTGAACCTCATTAAGTCACTGTCTTACCTCAATAAAATATATTGCTGCTTCTCTCTTAGGAGTGAAGTGCATCACCTCTCACTCATCCACAATAGCAGTGTACACGCTTTTTTTTTAATATATTTGTCCAATACTGTATTCGCACCATTTCTGACAGAGAACCCAATAATCTGTAGCCAAGTATTGGTAAGAGGGAAACACAATTCTGTGCCCTACATTTGACCTAAATTTCATCAACTTCCAAGGAATTCAGAAACAGCTTCTGAAATTCCTCTTTGTTCACATGTATGCTGACTTACCCCTTTCCTATTGTGCTGTAATCACTCACCAAAATCTTGCATTTGTTTTCACATTTTTCTAAGAAGTCCGAATCAATAATTCCCGATAGTTCCACCATGACCAGCTGTTCCTACAAAATAAGTTTACATCATATATCTGTGATTTACATATTTAAGAGGTRGGAGGGAAAGCATTCAAAAAGTTAGGTCTTCAAAATATTTCCCTTAAATAACATCTAACTTACTCTGTACTTTGACTACATAAATAAATAAAGCACACAGAGATGATATTTCAATATCCAAGATAAATGTGGCAGTTTGTTACTTCAACAGACAACTGTTTCACACCTGAATTTCCATCAATGCTTTATCAATCACACATTTCAAAATGTGTTTTCCAAAGCTTCAGCATTTGTGTAGGCAAGATACCACAGCAAGGCAGMAAGCTAAAGCTAAGCAACCGTTATTTTAATGGTTACTTTTAACTGTTTACAACACATTGCCTTGAAGTCAATTCCTTTCTGCAGCTCTTCATTTTGGAAGAGGAAAAGCCATGCACGCTAATCCCTGAAAACCCTTTCTTCCCCAAATACAGGGGAAGGTTTTACAGGCAACCGCCTGCCAAGCACCTAGGAAAACACGCAATATTAGAAGCGTTAGAGGGGGATCCTTCGGTTCAGGGCTGTCAAAACGGCCCCCAATCCGCTGCTGGGCGCCCACACGGGGGCGAACGCCCCCCAGCGCGGCCCCCAGGCAGGACCCGATCCGCCCCGCGAGGGGCCGGACCCGCCGCAGCCCTGCGAGGGGGGACGGGGGCGGCCCGGGGGCCGGTATGGGCGCTGACAAACCTCCACCTCCTCCTCTTCGCCTTCCGTCCTGCCGCCCTCCTGCGTCGCCATGTCTGCAGCAACCGCCTTCCGCGCCCGCACCTCAGCGCACACCACGTGACCGCCGCGCCGCCATCTTAGAGGGCGGCCGCTGTAACTAACGGCCGCGGCGGCGCGGGCTGGCCCGGCCCCGCCCTTCCCCCAGCAGGCGGCGCGAGCGCGGCGGCCGTTAACGGTCGTTAACGGCCGGTGCCAAGCGTGGCTCTGCGGCGAGGGCGGCAGGGAGGAGCGGCGACATTGTGGAGGCGCCGACTCCTCCGTGTGGCTGCGCTGCCCGCCCAACGTGTGCTCATGCCCCCCTGTCATCCCTCTCGTGGCTAACAACGCAAATAAACTCTGCGCTGTTTTGTTCTCTTTCCCTCTTCGTCCTCGCAGTTCTTTCCGACACCCGTGCTGGGCATCGCCCTGCGTGCCCGCTAGCTTCGTGTGCGCCGCTGCAGGCTGAGTGTCACTGAACCACCCTCAGCGGCAGGAGCTGTTCCCCGTTTCCACAGGGAATGCTTGCTCTTGCTTTGGCCTGTGTGTCCTGTTTCCCAGTCATCTGGTCAGGTTCATGGGCGTGCCTGTCCTGTTTCCATCAGATAAGGGCTCCTGAGATAACATCAAAATTCATTTTTTGCTAAGTACAAGATCACACACTCTATAACCCACAGTTTCTTGCTGGTTCAAGTATTTTTTATTATTTGCATTTTATTTTCTGTATTGTTGTGTTGTATCCTTATTGCTATTTCCAGTTTTGTGCCAAAAGTGCCAAAATCGTCAACTAAAACGATAAATAAAAATATCCCAAAGAAATTCACTGTAGATTTTCTTCCACTCACTGCTTAACCTCCATCTTACATAAGATAAACATAAATGTTTGCAGGGCACCATATCAGGTGTGCAACAGTGTCCATATAAACATGACCTTCTACTTTGCTACTTTTCTATAAATAAATAAACAAATAAATAAATAAATTCATCTTAAAATTTTAAGTTAGTTTAGCAAGGTCTTTCTTTAGTAAGCCAATGTTAGTTGGTTAGTTGGKTTATTTAATTTTTAATTATGGATAATGGGTTTAGTAATTCTTTCTTTAGAATTTGAATGCTATTGTGATAATAATGGCCTGCTTATGAAGCTGGGTTGGTTCTGAGTAGAGGGGGAAAAAAAGGGATCTGGGTCACTTTAGCTTTTAGTAGGAAAAAAGCAATTTGCAGAGACTTGAATTTTGGCCATGGAGGGTGGTGTGGAGCAGATGTTTGACATTTTTCAAGTGCTGTTTGTTGGATAATTTAAAATAATAGTTTGTGTCATTCGCTTATTGTAGGGTGCTGTATTTGAAGATTTTAGAAAATGACAGAAATAGGGAATTGAATTTCTGGCTTAGTGTTCTGCCACTAGAAGGAGATAGATAAATAAAAAGGAGAATTTAGAGCGCTTGTTCATTTTTTTTCATACAGGTTTTTAATGAGTTCCCAACTTAAAACTTTTCTTTATATAAATGATGCTAACTTTAGCTAGCTGAAATTGTGCCATTTAATCTGAGTACATGCGCAGTAAAGCCAACTTTTTAATAATTCTTAACTACTGATTTATATTCATTATTGACTTGCGTGCAGCAACTACATTTTTGCTCTGAATATTTCTGACTTTAGATAGAACTTGTGAAACTAAATAAAATTAKACAAAAATAAATCATTAATGATAAGACAATATAATTTATTAATATAATAATAAAACCTCTTTTCTTGATAATATATTAAAAATAGTTGTCATACTTAGCAGCAGTTCTGTAATGTTAATTTTATCATGACTTTCTGTGCATGGGGACCTCGGGTGCTCTGCAGGGTTTTGGTGTGTTAGTGGCAAATGCATTGACGTCGTCAGGTTAATCTTGCTGAGGACATCAGTGGATTTGTGTTGGTCTGTCATAGTTTGGGAGGGCATTTCAACAAATAGCTGTTACAGAGTTCCATGAAAACGATGCTGCGGGGATCTTCCGCGTCTGCCGAGGAGCCTGACTCGCCTGGTGAGATCAACATGGAAATACATCCTTTGAGGATCACGGTTTGGGATTCCTGTGACCAGCTGACAACCCTGCCGGTGCTCGCACGGGTTTGCGTGCGCCTGCTGCCGGAGACAAGTGGCTTGGTGCTAACCAGGGCAGTTCGAGGGTGTCAGTGACACCCTCGAGGGTGAATCTAAAATAAACGATGCCGAGATCTGCATATGCAATGTGTATGTGCTGGCTTCGGTGAGTGTGCTCAGTTTAAGCGTGTTCAGGTGTACTTTAGGTTGGGCCCTATAGTTTGCAAATTCTAGATGGGTGAAGTGACTTCATAGATTACAGACTTGGACTGTCTGCTTTAGCAAACTTTTTTAAGCAAGTAAACATTCAGCAATTAAGTTATATTACAAGAAATCAACTAAAGTTCACTAAAACATGCACTGAATGAAATCTTACTKCTTCATCTCTTTATGTCTTTTTTTATTTTTATCTTCATGCTTTAAATTCCTTCTCCATCCTTTTGTAGTCACCCCTTTTCCAATGCCAGCACTAGGCTGTCTATGCAAAAGGTTAAAAGGTTTGTAAAAACATAGAATAAGARTCTTTATTATTTTTCGGGGTGAGGTCTGCCTGTTTAGATGGCAAGAGTCTCTAGTCCAAAATCTCTTTTTGTTATGAAGGGGAAAACACAGAACTTAGGATTAAAATTAGGTGATAAAAATTGATATGTGTGTGTGCATATATATAGTCTTCTGCATCTGTAGTGCTTGCTGAATTGACTATCTCAGGAAGGAGTGTTGTGGCTCTGGGCTTATTTTAAACACGGGAGCATAACTAAAATTTACGACATGACCAAACCCGATCGCCTCTGAGCATCGGAAGGAAGCCCTCAGTAAAACTCGACCTCCTGAAATGGCGAAATGTTCGGAGGTGTCCTCCAACACCCAGGAAGGCTCCTAAGAGGCTGTCCTTATCCCTGCACCCTGGATAAGAGGCAGGGTGAGCAAAGGTACACGGCCCCGGGACAGGAGCGCCTTGGGCTGGGTTACAGGGCATGATTTGCATTTCCCAAAGCAGCCAGGCTGAGCCGCCTCGCTTAGGAATTTGCAGATAAACCAGTTCCGGGGAGTCCCCGAAAGAAGCCGCTGGTGCCTCTGCGTCCCTGCCTTTGTCTCGTCAAAAAGCTCCTTTAACATCACGGAGGGAAATCCTAGCAACCCTATCAGCAAAGCAAAGCACAGCTCGGGGAGAGCAGGAGAAAGTCCAGGGGGTGCTTCATTCTGCAGTGTCTTTTCGGGCTGTGGAGTGGGATGCAGCACAGCAGCAGGGGGGAAAATAAATCTAATTTTGGGGGACTTTCCTGTTGCGCTAGTCTCGAGCCTATCCGGTCTCACCCTGCTTGTTTGGAGGGAGCAGAGGGAGAGCGTTGGTAGGAGGAGAACTCGGGAGAGGAGCTCAGTGAGGCACATGGCATCTCCCAATGGATTTTCCCTTTACTCCAAAGAACTGAGATCAGGTCCTGGCGCCATGGGCGTTTGCAGGAGGGGGTGGGTGCTGGGCGCGGGTTTGGCTTGGTGAGACGGATCTCACAGAGATCCATGGAGATGGATTTCATGGAGCCCACGGCATAGACTCCATGTGGCTCCTCGGTGTGTGTGGGTGCCTCTTGTTGGCAGGGATCTGCTCTCCTGCTCCCGCCAGCCTGCAGGCTCCCGCAGTGAGGGCTGCCGTGCTGGGAGCAGGGAGACGGTGCTGGAGAGTGTCCTGCCACCCCTTACGTTCCAGCTGCGCAAGGGGATTGAGCTGGGAAGGGTGCGGGAAGCGGAGGTAAAGAGGAGGAAAAGGTAGAATCACAGAATCCTGAAGGTTGGCCTTAAGGCCTCCACCTCTAGAGATCATCCAGTCCAACCCCTCTGCTCCAGCAGGGACACCCAGAGCACGGGGCACAGGATTGTGGCCAAGTGGGTCTTGAAGATCTCCAGAGGAGACTCCACAACCTCCCTGGGCAGCCTGTTCCAAGGTTGCCCAGAGATGGAGGCTTCTCATAAGAATGGAGGAGCCCATATGCACCTGGGGGGCAAATGTGGGGGGCTCCTGGCACGCGGCCAGTGCTTGTTGTCCCCCCGTGGAGAGGGGAAGAAGCAGGGAGCAGGTTCCCTCCTCTCTCCTGCTTGCTGGGCTCAGGTAGCAGGACAGGAGCAGGCGGTAGCTCAGCTCAGTTCAGCCCGAGGTGGTGGGTTTCACCTGCTGCCCTTCTGCTCTTCGCTGCATGGACTAGATGGGTTTGGGGAGCTGGTGTGTTCAGAAGTGGCGAGGTCCTCCTTCAGATTCAGCCATTTCAGCCGAAGATGCCACAGCTGCTGCCGCTGCTGGACACATGGAATTCGTAACTGCTGGAGTTCTGTGTAATGTGCTTGAGCTGTCTGTGTGCCCAGTGCAAGCCCAAAACCCCATAGTTTATCTCAAGCAGCATCCTCTGCGGGCTCCTAAATCCCAGGCCCTCCCCGTAAAACTCCGTAGTTCTGAAGCAGGTAGTAGCAAACAACAAATAAACGATGCTTACCTGTGGTGCAGCTGCATCAG